GATGGAGCTATGGCTCTTTTTCCCCCAAGTTCCCGTCGGCTGCTGGTGTTACCGTATACTTGCAGCTAAAGGCAATGATGATCCCTTGAGAGAAAGGAGCTAAAGTTTGGGGGCAGCTTAGGCTTGTGGGGCTTCCGGCGGCTTCCTGTGGGGATCCCGTAACAGCTTGCAGGGGTACTGTGGAGTTCAAGGCAGAGATGGCCGATCCGGAAAGACCGGGGGAAGGTTCATGTTAACTATAGCCACCGACAGGAGTTGCACACACCTTCCAAGGCTGAGGCAAATTTGTCAGAAGACGTGTGACCTCAAACTTCTTGCTAGAGCGATTTGGGCCTCTCAAGCAGGATGACTAACTTGCATGACAACCTGCAGCAACAGAGACGAACAGGGCAGCCCGACACTGAAGCCAACAAATCCATGAAGTCCTGCATCTAACTTTGGACCAAGATCTCCGACGCCGCCCTAACAGGCCGTACACACCGGATTTTGAGAGCGTGTTATACTTGACAAGGAATTTTCGAGTATTTGCATACGTCGCGTGAAACATTCAATGTCAGAGATCGGCACAAGCCCCGAGCCCGATAATTATCGTCCTGCCCTCGTGCCCATGAGGCTGAAAAGCCAGCACCAGCTTCGCAAGCTGGCACGTCCTGTCAGAGTGGAGATGCCGAGCTACTAGAGAGCTCAAACACAAAAGCCTTTCTTTTCAGTACCATAACTGTCCCAACTCGCGTGATGTTCCTCACAGTGATGATGCTCCGAGACCTTTTGAACCGTCCAGACCCCAATCTTTCGGAGCCCGAGGCGTTTAGAAGCTTAAGCAGGAAAAAACAAAGAGCACCGGCGAATCGAAAGCCCTGAGATTGAGAAAGCGTTTCAATACCAAGGACCCAAGAACCCGCGGAGGGGCATAAGTTCATAAAGGAAGCCAGCAGTAACCACGCAGCCAAAAGAGCCCAAGAGCAGGAAGCCTATGAGCATCGGAAGCTCGGTACACCTCAAAAGCACGTATCAGCATCCCAAGAGTCGGATCTCAGAACTGATGTGACCTAGGAATGGAACGCCTCAAAACTGCAACAGATTCCCAGGACACCCTGACCCCATCCTCAAACCTAAACCGCCTCTAAATCCAAAGAACCCCCCCAAACTCCATAACCTCAAACCTTTCAAACTCAGCAGAACAAACAGACCGGGACCACAAATCCTCCCCAACAAGGACCAAGACTTGAAGGAGATCAGGCCTTGCCCCGAGGGCTCAAGAACGGCCAGGTCGCCCCCCCTCGAGTCAAAAACCCACGGGCCTCGAGGAGCCAAGGGCGGATGCTGTGAAAAGTTGGGTTTAGGGTTTATAGGGCTTGTAGGGCTTGTCGGGCTTATAGGGCTTATAGGGCTTATAGGGTCTGGAGGGTTTATGGGGGTTATAGGGGTTATAGGGTTTATAGGGTTTTGGGTTTTGGGATCGGGCTTCTCCTTGATAGTGTGACTGCCTGAGGCTTGTGGCTGAAGGCTGTTTCCAAAAAGGGGCATGTGGCCCAAAACACATCTCAATTGCGGGTGTCCCTATCCGCATGACCTCAAGCAACGAAGAAGCTGATGGTTCTGGAGTTGCCCCGTGGCGCGGAGGGCACTGTTGCACGCCAAATAGTGGCTGGCCATGCCGAACTGCTGTAAGCGCCTCACTACTACCGGCTGCGATGATTTTGCTGCGATGGCGACAATTTGTGGATGATTTTTGACATGATGTTCCAGGATACTGGTGAATGATGGAAGTTAGGTTGTTCCCAGCATGGTGGTGGTAATTGTATGATCTCGACAATGATCGCCACACCAGGTCACGAACACCACCGCCAGAAATGCGAATAGCGACTGCCAACTCATGTACGTCCACAGAGTCTACTGCAGTGGCTATGGCCGACCTCACCAGCACCTCTAAACGATGAACCGCGAACCCCGAAAGCGTCGTAAACTCCGGCACCTTTCCCCAGGTCCCATCGGGACGAGCCCGCGCCGTGCCATCCTGCCGAGTAGGGCTGTGCAGGAGCTCGCAGTCTGGGTCAAAAGGCGGGTGTAACTAACGGGAGGGTTTGGCGGCGTTTTCGGCTTTGGGGTTCGGGGTTTAAGGAAATTTGGAAAACATCCTGACCAGCAGCTCTGATTCTGGCCAATAGCAGGTCTTTCGCCGCTGCTACTTATGTAATTACTTGTATTATCAAGCATTGTTGGATTCAGATGTTGGTCTCTATGCCAAACATAACTCACAAGAGTGGCGTCGCATCATGCAAAGCGAAGCTGTGTCTATTTGGAGCTAAGTGCGATGCCTAAACGGAACGTCCTGAGCATCGCAGATTTTGCAGCACAGACGAAAGCAAATTCACCGAATGGCTCTTGCAGCTGCCCATTCGGACGAGGCTGAAAGCAAGCCACCCGTCTGGGACAACACAAGAGTAAGAAAGAGGCAGCCAGAAAAGCAGCTTAGAACCGCCTCATTGCCAACCAGCATGCTGCCTGCCAACCGGCCTTTTCTTGCTGCCTTTCTGTGGTGCTGCATTTCGATCCATCAGCCCTGTGTCTAAAAACGGTGCAACTCAAGACCCTCTCCAATACTGCCAACACCACTGAAAGGACACATCACTCATCACAGGGAGGACATTCACAACGTCCGAGAAACATTCTCGGAAAAAACTAAAGTACAGCATTCGAATTTCGGCTCGCGACCATGCTCGGTGGCACAGATGCTCTTGGAGCGAAGCTGAAAGCAAGTCCGCGGCACTTTCTCATATTGAATTAGAACAACGCAGGCACTGTGACAAACATCAACTGTACAATGAAAATGCCCTACAGAACTGCTCCGTGAAGTGTGAGCGAGGATCGAACGTGGCAGCAGGAATCATGGCATATATTACGTAGCTTCACTGCACAATCTGCTTGGGTTTCTGGGCACCTGTCCGAAGCATACCAGCTCGCCACTCGCCTTCACGGCACAGGTGTAATGTTTTCCGGCTGCCACGGCCACCACCGGACCGAGATCGCCAGGCACATCGCACTGACCATGCTGATTGAATCCGAAGCAAACCAGCTCGCCACTCGCCTTCACGGCGCAGGTGTGATCTTCTCCGGCTGCCACGGCCACCACCGGACCGAGATCGCCAGGCACATCGCACTGACCAAAGCCATTGTGTCCGAAGCAAACCAGCTCGCCACTCGCCTTCACGGCACAGGTGTATGGCCATCCGGCTGCCACGGCCACCACCGGACCGAGATCGCCAGGCACATCGCACTGACCATGCTGATTGAATCCGAAGCATACCAGCTCGCCACTCGCCTTCACGGCACAGGTGTGATCCGATCCGGCGGCCACGGCCACCACCGGACCGAGGTCGGGAGGCACATCGCACTGACCATCCGAATTGCATCCGAAGCATACCAGCTCGCCACTCGCCTTCACGGCACAGGTGTGAAAAGATCCGGCAGCCACGGCCACCACCGGACCGAGATCGCGAGGCACATCGCACTGACCACGGCCATTGTTTCCGAAACAGACCAGGTCGCCACTCGCCTTCACCGCACAGGTGTATGCTCTTCCGGCCGCCACGGCCACCACCGGACCGAGGTCGCGAGGCACATCGCACTGACCAAAGCCATTGTGTCCGAAGCAAACCAGCTGGCCACTCGCCTTAGCGGCACCAGTGTGAAACCATCCCGCAGCCACGACCACCGGACCGAGGTCGGGAGGCACATCGCACCGACCATAGCCATACTCGTTGTCTCCGAAGCCAACCAGCTCGCCACTCGCCTTCACGGCACAGGTGTGATCTAATCCGGCAGCCACGGCCACCACCGGGCCGAGGTCTGGGGAGTCTGGGGGTTGTCTACGCTTGCAGACAAGGATGCGCAGCGTCGCGCAAGTCTCCGAGGCCACCGCCGGCTCGATCCCCTGCCCGACATAGCTCCGACCGGGGCCTGGGATGCTAATCTCTAGACTCGCCGTGCGGCGTGTCATCATCTGCTCGAGGGCTTGCCTACCTAGCTCACCAATCGTCTCACACTTGAGGTGCAGCCGTTCCAAGTGACTGCACTTCTCCTTGGACAAATCGGTCGCAAAATCTTTCGCATCTTCGTCCCGCACATTCTCGCAGACGATCTCGACGTTGCAGGCACCAGATTCCACCACGGCCATGGCCACCTTCCAAACATTCTCCGGGCTTCCCCTGGCTACGAGCTCCTTGAGCTGGGTGTAGAAAGGCAGAGCTGCAACCAGAACTTCGATCTTCTCGGCAGTCAGGTTTTCGATGAGGAGATTGGTCGTGGACGCGGCTTTCTGGTGGAAGACCTTCGCCTGGAGCTTAAAGACCTCCTCCGTATCCTCCCTGTGTGTAAACTTCATCTGCTGCATCCGGGCACGGAACATGTCTGGTGGAAGCGGCACCGGACTTTCGCCCTTTATCCAAGTCCGCAAAGCGGACCATTCCTTCTCGGACCTGCACCAGCCTCGTTCCTCGTAAGGCGTCCCGTTCAACTTGAGTTCAGTGATAAGCACGTCCGTCATCTGCTGCTCCTCCTTCCAGAACACGAAGATTGTGGCTCCGGGTGCTGCCACACACCTCTCTCGAACGTTCTCCGGAGTCAACGTCTCAATGCGATGGACTTCCATCGTGGGAGTACATGACAAAAATGTCGCAAAGTGCCCGGCGGAAGAGTCTCTCCTGATCCTCGCTTCTGGCGTATTGATGCAAGGAAAGGAAGTCGTAGAAGATCCAAACGACGGAATCCAGCAGCCGGGGACGGAACTCCTCCACGATGGCATTCAGCTGGAACCTCGCAAGCAAGGGCAGCTGGACAAGGTGGTGCGAAAAGAGCAACACTGCGATTTGCAGATCTACTACTACAACATGGTCCCAGAATTCTCCCGCCCGAGCCCGGATAGCCCCGAACCTCCACGGATCCGGATGCTGCATGCTCTCCCACATGTGGCTGATGGAGATGAGGTGGACTCGGACCTGTCTGGGCACTGGGTGCCGGCGCATCACAGACATGTGGCCTGTATTTCGATCGATGCTCACTTCTTTGAGCTCGCTGTTCTCTACGAGCGCCGGCGCACCTGAGCTCGTCGTCTCCTTTTCTGCTTCTTGACGGCGCGGCAACGGCCTCCCGGAGGCAGAGAGCTCGATCAGGTATTCGAGGCGCACCATGCGGATGCCGGCATCTTCGAGGAAGCCGAGTAAAGATTCCGGTTCTGACAAGTCGTAGCTCGTCTCCTCTGCTGCGGATGCTACGGCCATGGCGTTTGCGGTGGATCGGAGGAACTGTCTCTGGCTGTGAGCAGAAACAGCTCTGTATGGCGAACATGCACCATGCTGACAAAGTGGGGTTTGAGGCTCAATGCCCGAGCCACTGCAGAACATCACACACAACTGGCCCCAGGATGCCGGGAAAAAAGCAAAATATCAGACAGGATAAATGGAAGAAACATTATCATTATACATGGTAGAAATTCTCTTTATTCTAATAGCAATGATGCTGGGGCCTTTGGAAGGCAGCGCACGTTGCAGCGCAGGCACGGCGACGAAACGGTGGCCACATGACGGGTGTTCGACTTTGCTTTCCACATAGCACTGGACCTCAGCTTTACAACAAACCATGAGGGATGCCCAGTCCTTCCAAGCCATGTTCTCCACCGGAGCGACGTCTGCCTGAGTTTATCACCGGAGCGAGCTTGAGAATCATGGGTTACGGTGGGCCAGAGGACTAGAGAAGGTTTGCGGGCATGGAAACCCCGATAAACCCCCAAACAGGCCCAAACAATGAAGGGGGCCAGCTGGAAAGGAGGCATACCCTAAACCGTGTTAAAAAAAAACCTCTACGCAACTCTGAATCCCTCTGTAGAAAGCCTTCGTGTCTATTTGGCGGAAGCCAGTGGATCCGAGCAGCAATTCACCTATTGAAGCCACAAATCACGCATTTTTTCCCCTCAGGGATCCGCAGGGTCCATGTCAATGTGCCCCAAGAGTATATATGGGTAGTTCTAAACTACGTTCCTGTTTAGGGAGACCTACAAGAAGACCCGAATTAAGAGAACTGCCCATATACTTTGACGGCCTTTTAGGGGTTCTTATCTGCATGCTTTCATAAGGTCAAAGAAAAAAGAGGTGAGTCACATCTACGAGGGGAAGGCGCGAAGTGCGGGTTGGTGCGTGATGTTACTATCCGCCTTTCTGTGCCTTCAACCACTGGTATAGGCTGGGCACGCACAGAGTGGAAAGCACGGGAGACTTCACCATGACGGGCTCCTAAAGTCCTTATTGCTACTTGCCCTTCAGGAATGCCCAAGGCTTCCTGGGACTTCGGGACCCTGAAAGGCTTTCTCGCACTCTCCGAAGGCAGAATCGAGATCTGCGAAGAAAGGGAGCCTAGTTGAAGTCACCATACGAAGGGACGCATATTCGCTGCTTTAGAACCGCTGCCCCTTGCGAAGCCCTGAAGCCGGTTGCACATGGAATTGGAACAGCTTCCGAAGCTCGGAGGCATCGTGGTCTGAGCTCAGAGTTTTAGTGGGCTGTAACACTCAGGAACATGTACTTACAAAGCGCATACAGTGGCCTGACAAGAGTCCTATCTGGGTGCTTTAAAGCCAAACTGAAGTAGATTCTTGCCAACCATCAATGGTCTAATGAACATCTTTGAACCTGCAAACCTCGAATCGCCTCCTGATACCAAAACCCTCAAGTCCTTGAGCTACGAACCTTCAAATCCCAGAATCCTTCAAGAACTCTGCCTCTCACAGCGATTGTTTCCCGAGGGGCTGACGGACAGCTGACGACCGGATGTCTCCTGTCGAAGGGCCCACAAAAAAAGGACACAGGTCTCAATGTGCTTGAACCTTCTTAGAGTTGAGGGTTTAGGGTTTAGGGCTTAGCAATTACACAGGGCCCCACCAGATCCAAAACCTGGTATGATGTTGCATTGAGACGTCTGTGACAACCAGAAGGTCCCAAGCCAAGGCCGATCCTCCCCACAGCCTAAGATGACACCTCTGTAAGCCGCAAGGGGCCCCAACCTCCGATGCCCACGAGGCTCCCAGCCCTGACATGGCTCTCGGCTTTTAGGCCCGGAAGGCCTGAGCTTGCTTCCCTCTGCCCGGTGACGTCCTGAAATACAGGGCCCAAGAAGGGAGGAAGGGAGGACGGAAGGAAGGAAGCAATGTTTACGGCTTGGGCTTCGTGTTCGGGAGTTGAGGTGTTTAGAGTGTGATGTCTAAGGCTGTTGGGTTTTCGGATGTTGCGGTGTACGGCTTGGACTTACGGCTCAGGGTTTGCTGGGGGAACCGTGACCTAGGGGGCACAAGCCTGCCGAAACAGCAATGAAAAGGCGCGAAGCTACTTATGATTTAACTCATGATACGTATATGTAGATTCTAGCAGCCATCCGAAGCGCCCTGATGCTGGAACCTAAGCCGAATGATGAAAGCCCTGACTGAAACTTCCACCAATCTGCCCTAAGGAAAACCACACGAGTCTCCTAAGCCCCAGAAGGAAAGCCTTGTCTTTGAAACCCCAGACCCCAAAGCCGCAGCATCTCAGCCCACCCTGCCAATCTTTGTGGCTCCTACTGTATTGGCTTCTGGACCTAGTTCTTTGTTTGAACCTTCCCGAAGAATTTAGAAGCTTCAACAGCCTGAACATACGATTTAGAGCACCGGTGCCTGGAAAGGCCTGAGCTTGAAGCGCCGAAATAGCAAGAGCCCCAGAACCGCCGGGCAGAACCCTAAAGGAAGCCTGATTTACCACCAGATGCCTAAAACACCCAAGAGCAGGAAGCCTCTGAGCATCGGAAGGAACGATACGCGTCAAACCATAAACATCTCAAGAGTCGGATCTCAGAACTGATGTAACCTTGCCGCGGAGCGCCTGAACCTGAAACGAATCCCAGGACACCCGGAACCCTTCATCAAAGCTTTGAAGAGAACCCTCAACCTAGAACCCTCAACCTGAAACACCAATGAACCCCAAAACCCCAAACCCTGGACCTTGAGAGTAGACATCCCAAACCCTCAACCTCTACAGAGGGGATCTCGAGGGACCTCGGGAGGGCTCAGGAGCGACCGGGTCGTGTTCGGACTCGAAGACCAGGGGCCTGGCGCAGATCAGGCGGCTGTGGTGAAAAAGTAATGCGTAGGCTGCATAACTGAGCTTCTTGGGGCTTCTTTGAAAGGGGTTTAGGGTTTAGGGTTGTAGCTGAGCTTCCTGGGGCTTCTTTGAAAGGCTTGTGGCCGACCGCGCTTCCATTTGCTGTCCCTACCAGCACCTGAAGCAACGGAGAGGATGAAGGTGGGAGAGCGCTTACACCATGGGACGACGACGACGACAAGCTGAGGATGAGTTCGACATGATGTTCCAGTCATGGTGAGCGTGATGGTGATGCTGACTATGGAAGTTATGTTACTTTTAACGAAGCTGGTGGTGGTAAGGACAAGCATCTCTGGATTTTGGATAATTATGATCACCGCATCAGGTCACCAACACTACCGCCAGACACGGGAATAGCAATTGTTAGCACACTTATTATCGTTATGTCAACTGCAGTTGCTATGGCCGACCCCACCAGCACCAGCCCTAAGCACTTAAAGCACGGCAGAAGGACGACGCGCCCGCGCCGTGCCCACGATGGCCAAATCCTGCCGAGTGGGACTCACAGTCTGGGTCAAAAGGCGGGTGTAACTAACGGGAGGCTTTGGCGGCGTGTTCGGCGTTGGGGTTCGGGGTTCAGGAAACTTTGGGAAGACATCCTGACCAGCGGCTTTGATTCTGACCAACAGAAGGTCTTTTGCTGCTGTTACTTACTTGACTTTATGCTCAAGCATTGTTGGATTCACATGTTGGTCTCTGCACCAAAAATAGCTCACAAGAGTGGCGTCACATCATGCAAAGCGAAGCTGTGTCTATTTGGAGCTAAGTGCGATGCCTAAACGGAACGTCCTGAGCATCGTAGATTTTGCCGCACAGACGAAAGCAAATTCACCGAATCGCTCTTGCAGCTGCCCATCCGGACGAAGCTCAAAGCAAGTCGCCCTTGTGGGACAACACAAGAGTAAGAAAGAGGCAGCCAAAAAAGCAGCTTAGAACCGTGCAGAACCCTGAAGTCCCTAAAACCCTGAACACGATATCCAAGACTCTCACAACCCTGGATCCCCCCTTACCAGAAGCCCGATGAACACCCATGAACCGGCCATTAAAACAAAACTCTTACCAACCCTCATAATAAAAAACCTAGAAGGCCCTCTCAACACAGACTTACAACAAGCAAACCGCTGGAGAGCCCGAGGCGCTGGAATTCGCTGGCCCGACGTGCCCTCGGTCTGTTCGGCCGCTTCCTGACGATGGAGCTATGGCTCTTTTTCCCCC